AGGATGAATGTGCAGGTGACTTTTTCTTCCATCTATTCATTCTCCATCTCAAGTTTTTCTGCCAGATCAAGAAAGCAAAGCAGTAATTATCCCAGTCAGCATCACTTACCACATTGCCTTCAAACCCAACTTGAGTTTTCTCAGCCAAATAGCAAATACCAGTCTAGGTGTTTACTTGTTCGTCACAATGTTATCAAGACTAAAAGATGACATCATTCATCTATTATCTGCATTGAAAGGTAATCACTCAAGAGAATGAAAGCAAGCCTCCTTATCCAACAAATAACATTATGCCTCACACAGCAACACTTCTAAAAATCTGCCCTATACATATCCTGTCAACGCAAAAGGACACACACTGAGCCCTAATGAGCGCTGCCAAAGTCTACATCATCATCAAATCCTACATCGTGATCCAGAGAGCATACAGTTTTATAAAATGGAGTATGCTATTGATATATGTTAGGCTGCTTTGTAGCTAATATTCCAGGTAAAGCTGATTTTTTTTTAAAAAGTATCACATTTATAAGTATGGATATTTCCTTCAAAAGCCAGGGACCAAATGGACAGTAACTGCACTACCTGATTTGCTGAAATCAAGAGTCTTAATATTTGTGTAATGATTCAAAAGAAAAACTTTTTTGCACTAAAACCTTAGCTACTACAGCCAACCCCATTCAATGACAAACTTCGGTATTTCAAATGGAAAAAATAGTGGTATGCTAGGGTGTGCAGAGATGAACTGGAATGCATAAAAATTGCATGTATGGGTTAGGCACTGCCTTCCTCAGGAAAAAGACATTTACACGTGTAAGATAAAGCAAAATGACAGCACATACACTCCAATTTGCAGCCCTAATCACATAAAGATCTGTGGTTTTTGTTTTTTAATCCACTGGACTTCATTTTACTCCAAATGCAAAGATATCTGTCAATGTTAGAACTCTTTGCTCACCTGCATATACACAGACCCTGTCAAATATCACAGAAAATTTAAAGGCTTTTCTCTGAAGTCACACTTGCTGCTAAACCAGTGTTCAGCCTAAGAGATAACCACCTCAAGAAATGGAGCAGAAAATAAACTATCCCTTCTGCCTTCTCATCAACTAAGTCTATCTGTAATGCAGCTATAACTTCACTTGCCTTTTCTTCAAACCTAAATGTTTCTTTAACCACCTAGCCAGATGTCCTCATAGCCCCTTCAGGCCAATTGCTCATCATCACAATGGTTTACTGCAACTCCACCCTTTTCCCACCTTCAATTTCAACAGTGCATTTAAATTTTTTCCTTTTAAGAGAAAGACTGTGTTTTAAGAATCCACACACACCCCCAAGTAGTTCAGTGAACGGTCATGTTAATATCATTGAACCCCAGGGAATCTTCTGTTTAATTGCTACTCTTTCCCTTCCCCCAGAGGACCATTTCTTATCTGATGTTGCAATGGAAAACACTGCATGAAGACAGACAGAGCAAACACACAATGGCTTTAAATTTTTAAACATCTAACCTTTTCATGAGTCACTGTTAATCATTTGCACCTGTGCCTTTAATAATCAGCCACACAATTAGTGAAGCAAAATCTGCGGGATGGAACTCAGTAAGGACACCCTAATCACAATTGCTCCCAATTCAAGGAAGAAAGGAAAGGGGGCTTTTGTCTTCTGTGACAAGAAGCAAGTTTTACATGCCAGTTCCACCAAATCTAGAGGGCATTCAGAGCTCCCAGTAATCAAAATCTTGTAACAGTAGAGATCAAAGCTGGGTGTGGTGGCTCACCCTTGGAATCTCAGCCCTCTGAGGTAAGATTACCATGAGTGTGTGGCCAGCCTGGACTCTATATTGAGTGAGTTGCAGGCTAACCTGGGTTCAAGTGTGAGATCTTATCTTAAAAAAACAAGGGGCAGGGAGGGACACTGAGTCAAGATCTCTAATGTACATATGCGTGTGTATGTCCTCTTATATTTCCAAGTATTAAGTTTTTGCCTTCTATAACCATTTTCAACTAAAAAAATCATTCTGGAATATAAGTATAACACTAATTGAGGGAGTAAATCTTTTAAGTTATTGTCCCCACTAAGAAGGTAGGATCATTGACATTATACTACTTCATCACTTATCCCATGTGAAAGGCAAATTTAGAGCAACAGGAACAATATCCTGAAAAGGTAGATGCTGCTCTGCACCAATGAAACACACACATCTAGAAGGTACAAATAAGGCCTCTGTTCCTTGCAGTCTATCTTCAGCAGTCATAGTCTCTGTGAGTGGAGGTGTCCTCAACTGCGTTGGGCAGAAAAGGATTCCCTATGAACAGCATCTGGACCACACCTTATTTGACCAAAGGCGATGCTGACAAAGGCTAGGGAGAAATATGTCTAGTCCAGATGAGGGGATAGCTCAAAGAATCAAATATGCCCCTCTCTAATTAAACAAGAGAGGCCCTAAAAATGACCATTTTGTGCAATGGAGTTCTCCTAGACCATCCACTTCCAAATGCTGCTCATTCTATGGAATGGATGGTTAAGATTTTACAGTCCAGTAGCTGCTGCCGCTCTTTTAAAACCCTAAAAATGTTGTGGAAAGCGTCCATTTAGTGTGTAAATATGCTTTGGGCACTAAAACACTGCTGAAATATCGGAAAACACTCCCCTCCCACTACAGAAATGTTCCCAGTCCAACGCTTAGGGGATGAAGATTCCAAACTGCCTGTACCAAAATTTCTTTTCATTTTTTAGATCCACTTGCTTGCTGGGGAACCTACTGAGGAGCTCTCCAAAAATACTACCTACAGTTCGTCTTTTGGTTCTACTGTTTACCTAGTCTAGGGAAGGTGAGGAGTGTTTGGTAGTTATCCAGTCCTTCCACTTGTAGCAGGAATGAACGAAATAGCAGCACAACACTTAACTCAGTAGAGCTTTAAAAGCATCCTGAAGTCTCGAAAAACCAAAAAAAAAAAAAAAAAAAAAAAAAAAAAAAAAAAAAAAAAAAAGCATCCTGAAGGAACAGAGGCGTCTCTCTCCCATCTACACCTTCCACCCTCTTTCTTCCCTATCCCTGGAATCTGCAGCCCTTCTCTAGCGACTCCTGGAAGAATCTTTTATTTCATAGGGCTCTCGGACATGACCCCGGTTATTCCCACCCTTTCATCCTCCATATCCAACCCTTTCCCACTGCCCCAGTCCACCCCCTTACCTGATAATGTCGTCGTTGTGTCCCAGGAAGAATTTTTGGCTGTGCTCTCTGGTGTTGTACACCACCCCAACCCCAGCTACAAAGTAAACCACCTCCTTGCCTGCGGTGTAGTACAGGTTGTTTCGGCACTGGTGACCCCGGTACCCGTACACCCACTCCAGCCGAAGCTGGCAACTGGGAGCTGTCCGATCCGCCATGATAAGCCGACCCCGCGCGACCCCCCGGTGCCCCGCGCGCCGCCTCTGTCCTCTTCAAGGCTCGGGCTGCAGCGGACCTGCAAGGGCTCAGGGTACAGCGCGGGGCGCCGATTTCCGCGGCGACGCACAGGCACAGCCCAGCACGCCGGCCGCCACCATCATCCGCTGCTGCGGGAGACGAGCTGCGGCAGCGGCCGGTGTGCAGCAGCAAGACCCCGCTGGGCGCCCCGGCTCCTTCCCTCGGGGCCAGGCGGCTTTAGGGGCGCCAGCACCCGCGCGCACGCCTCACTGCACCTGGGGGCTTTGGCCCGCGGGAGTGGTTCTCCCCTGGGTCACCCCGCCTTTAAAATCAGAGATCTGCATATCCAGACACAGATTACCCAGTTCGCCAAGTTTGAGGTGTGTGGGGGCTTCGCAGCAGGCGGTGGGATTTATTCTGTGACAGGTCTGATCTGACAAGCAGCCGGAGTAAGCTTTGCCATCACCGTCCTTGGATCCGAAATTGACTGTCTATATCTAGGATGCAAGAGCGAGGAAGAGAAAGAAATTTTGCATGTCACCTCGTACAAGAAAATGATCACCAAACTAAAACCAAGTTGTGGGTTGTGTTTTGGGGTTTTGTTTTTTTAATTGTCCACCTTTCTCCATCCATATCCACCTCCTTAATTATAGGAAATAAGCCCTAAACGCTACTGGCTGGCAGTTGCTGATCTAATTTGAAATAACACTTGCTGTTTCCTCCATAAAGCCAGGGCGAATATAAAATGGTCATTTTTTTAGATGCTCCAATTAGCTGTCATGCATGTGTTTAAAACCCATACCCTCCATGAGCCTTCTCTTCACAGAGAAAACCATAAAGAACTTAGCTGCTCTCCCTAATCAGCAACTCTAATTGCAAGCTTCATTTAAAAAAAAAATTCTGAATTGGAGGAGACCAGGCAACAGGGCAACTAAAGAAGAGCGCTATCTACAAACGCTCCCGGTCCAGGAAAAATAAATAAATAAAAATAAATAAATTAACAAGTGGCAAAATAATAATAATAAAACAATATAATAATAACAATAATAATAATAACATAATCGTGCCCCTGTCTTCAAGATCTGAGCTAGCTAACTAGGAGACCCTGCGGGTTCCAGGATCCTGCTTATAGCTGGGGGGGAGGGGGGCGGGGGGGGCGGGGGGGGGCGAGGTCTCCCGTGGGGCCCCCCGAGGACAGCAACATCCCATGCTCGTCCAGGCGCCTGCCACCGCGGTCCCGAGGGATGCCAGCCCCAGGGATACCCTGGCTCGAGCGCCACGGTCCCAGCAGGTTTCTACACTCCCACCTGGACCAGCCTTTCTCGGAGCATCCCTGCTCTCTTCGCCTCTAACCTCTGCTGCCCGCCGTGCGTCCGGGATTCCGCACCAGCCAGCAAAATCCTCTGCCTGCCCTCCCTCCCCGGCCTGAGCACCCGGGGATAGGCTTCGTCACTGGGGCGCCTAGGGACCAGCTCTTCCTCCAGCCCGGGCTCGGGAGGCGGGGCCAGCGCGAGGACGGGTTACTAGGCGAAATCGCGGCGCTAGGAAACGCAGACGCCCGCGAGGGCTGAAGCCGCCCCTCCCTCTGCTAGCTTCTTCTGTATGCATCCTGGGAATCGTAGTCCTCTGTAACCAACTTGTGAGAAGAGCGCTTGGAGTGCACTACAAGTCCCAGGATTCAATGCGACCACAGGGCCACAGATGCCGGTGCCACCAGAACCTGCATTTCTCCTACAGGAGCTGGCAGCTCACCCAGACTAGCACAGGTGTTCTGTAGTGACCCAGTGCGCGTCAGTGCCGAGAGCAGAGAAAATGGAGTGGAGAAAATTCGCGAGCTTTCCTCAAGACTTTCTCTTGCGTCAGTCCCTGAGGATTGCTGAAGCCCACGTCTGCCCCATATTGCAGCACTTGACTTAGGCTGTTTCCTACTTCAATTTTCCCTGTTATTCCAAAGGATTCTAATTTATTTAAGTGCAGTGTTGCGGAGTTTAAGAAAAATGCAAGGCATATGGTCAGTCTGTCATGAGTAGGGGAATAAGTGCCTTCCTATGACCTGCCTTGTGCCCATGCATTGAACAACTAGTTTTGGCCTTCAGACACAGAAGCCAGTGGGGTAAACTAATCCGTTAGTTCTGATTTTCTGGTTATAGCAATAACCAACATTTGGGAAAAGATTTTTAAATCTACTTGACTAAGAGACTACCAAAGGTTGATAGTTTTGATTCTTTTATAGATATGTTTCTTTATCTATGTGGAGCTATAACAGAATGTTCTGCCCTGGTAGGAAAGGTGATGCTGTAGATTAGAGGTGCCAACGATTGAATGAGCAGTTACCTGTAATGATAAAGAGAATGTGAATTCACTTCATATTTTCTAAGAAAACAGAATCTACAAATAGAGTTGTTTGTTGTTGTTTTGGAGTAAGGACACTACTAAAAATTAAAACATGGCTTAAAAGGGGTTTGAAATTGTCTTAGTCTGCTTGCTTTCTATTCCTGTAATCATTCATGAAAAGCATTTGTTTGTTTGGTTGGTTGGTTCATGATTCTAGTGGTGGGGAAGAGCAATAACATGGAACTCAATATCTGATGATGAAACTTATTTATATCCTGTCCTGGCAGATGGCATCACATGGCAAGATAGAGTAAGAATGCTAACTCTTGTCTCTTTTGATAAAGCCACTAATTTCATGGTGAACCAACCTCATTAATTTATCTAATGCTAACTAGCTCCCAGAAGCCTTACCTCCAAATACCATTAACATATGAACAGAGGACTGAATTTTTAATTCATGAACTTTGTGGGATATGGTCAAACCATAAGAGAGAAGTCAACAAACTTTGAGATCATGAATAACATCTTGCCATTGAATGAATTTCATAGAGAAATAAATTATATATAAGAAGAAGAAAACATCTTCCAGACATAATAAAGAAAAGCTTCAACTCTGATGGATCCCCACTGCTCTGGAGATGTCCCCAGCAGCCAGCCAACAGGTGAGAGACCTGCGGGAAGGCTGTACCAACACCCCAGACTCCCACTGGACCCTGTAACCTCTAAGACCCACTTCGCCACCGATCCCACCACCACCACCCCACCCCAGGCTAACCATCTGCTGCAATATCAACAGCCCCTATATAAGTGCCACCTACTCCAGTTGGGAGAACAGGTGAGTGACTGATCCCCCAGCTAAACAATCCCAATCTCCAGGTCCCAAGCCCCTGGACACATCCCATGCCCCCCTCTCCATCTTAGTCCCAGCAAGGCAGCTGGGCCCTGCCCCCGACTCTGATGGATCTTCACTGCGCTGGAGCAGTCCCCAGCAGCAGGCTAACAGGTGACAGACTTGCAGGCAGGCTGATCCAACACCCCGGACAACCCAACTCTAACCTCTACAACCCACTCTGCGGCCCAAACCCACCAACCCCATGACCCATTTCTTGGCCAACCATCCACCGCAACATCAGCAGCCCCTATAGGCACAAGCACCACCTACTCCAGCTGGAAGAACAGATGTAGGGCCCTGGTCTCCTCCCATATTGAGTAAAGCCGTTGCCTGCTTGCTGACCTTGACCAGGTGTCCTCCCTATGCTAATTCCCTGCCGGTATCCACCCTCCTGAATGCTTTAGGGAAGTTCTTTGTTCCTGTATCCTGCATTTGGTGTAAACAGCTTAGATGCAAAAATGTAGCAAACTTCTGCCCTCTGGGGATCCGCCATTGTGCTGTAAGCCTGTATTTAAGGTTTCCTCCCTCTTTCAATAAACGGCATTCGACTGGCATTTGGCATTCAGCCGTGGCGAATGACTCGCTGTCTCTTGTCTCTATTTTTTAATCCACAGCCCCTCGCTCGGACATGGTGAACGGGTGGTGGTAGCGCAGGCGTTATCCCTACAAATGGAGGTTCCTACCGAGATCCGAGAAAGAAGGGACAAGCTGATGGACACCCGAAAGGTAAGGCTGGCCAGCATTTTAAAGAAAAAAGGTATGGGTGAATTGTATTGAAATGGGTGCAGCTAGCTCACAGTCAGTTGATTGGACTGTTGAAGCAGGAAGGCACGGAAGTTAAGAAAGGGCAAGACAGCTAAAGAGTTTAAATAAAGAAGGAAATCTTCCCAAAAGAGAAGAGGGAAGGAAAGGAAATTTCCCGTTAGAAAAGGGAGAAAAAATTTTAATCAAGAAAAAAGGATTTTCCTGGTAAAAAGGGGAAAAATTTTTGAAACTAGGCCTAAAGATTGGGGCCCTGTAGAGGAAGGATAAAGGAAAGAAAGAAGCCTCTTCCCAGTGGTAATGGAGAAAGAAAAGACTTTTTCCAATTGTAGAATTTTCAGGATAGCTGAAACTCTGAGCTCTTTCTGCAGTGCAGCATCTGAATTACAAAGAATCGGCAGGTAGGCCTCATTGCTGCTGGCTGAACAGCAAGCGAGCCCAGAGGTTAGAAGTTTGGCTGTCTGTTTGCTTATTTTGGTTCAAATGTTTTTTAATTTTCCCTCAGAATGGGAATAATTCAATATTTAGGATCCCTTCGTGGGAAATGTTTTTCTGTTTTTCCCTTATGGTGGGAATAACTCATTAGGTAGTCCCTTCATGGGAGTAGGAAGTTTAAACATGAGTTTGTGTGTGCGGGGTGCGCACCCAGTGGCGGACAAAGGCATGCAAAAGATAGCGCTGGTGGGAGTTGGAGCTGCGATGGAGCGCGGCCCGGCCGGGCACCAGCACTAGAGCCCAGGCACCAGCACTAGAGCCTGAGCACTGGGCAAAGCCAAAGCTAAGCTGCAAGCTCAGCTCCCACCAAGTGAGCAGAGGCCCAGGAAGGGACTAGCCCTAAAACTTTAAATGGGCCTAACTTCTGGCGAAAAAATGGTTTCAGTCAAGACATAGAATGCTAAGTCAATGCTGTTTGAATAAAAGATGTTTTGTTCTTTTGATTGTCTTAATAAATGTTTGGATGAATGTTTGATTCTCATGGTAGATAAACTAAAGGAATAAGATTCATAATTTTGAACTATATATTAGGTGTCCTCTTGTCTGTTGATCATTACTGAAAATTTGGTTCTGCAATTTAAGTTGCTTTCTAGAAATTCTTGGTTTAATTCTCTAGAAATATAATACCTGAAATGGATTGGGTTGTTAGCTTATTAAATAATGTTGTTGCTAAGATGAACCCATAAAAAATAATCGCTTACTGATAAAGAGGTCACAAAATTATTTTTCTAGTAAATAAAATACAGGTAAATTGTTTGGTCCACATTGTTAATAATTGGATATTTGCATTAATGTGTTACTTGGAATTTATAAAAAAAAGATCCTCTTTTTAAGATTTTATAAAAATTGTATTTAATGCTTTTATAATTAGCATATGTAAAAAGGACCATAGAAATAAAAGCTGGTGATAGAATTGCTCAATTATTATTGCTTTCATATTTTAAAGGCAAAATGGCGCCTATATGTAGAACTGGAGGTTTTGAAAGTATAGGAAAAAAGATGTTTTGACAAACAGTTATCAATGATAAGCAGCCTAAAATTAAAAACAAAATTATATGGGATTGAGATTGAAAGATAATTGGATTCTGGTGCTGGATATATCTATAATTTCACAAGAATCCTGAGATCCCAATTGGCCCCTTAAGAATTCCATCTCTAACCTACAAGGTATCGGCACAGCTCAGACGCCATTACAGAGCAGGCTACTTTTAAATTGGAAGGATGAGGAAGGTCATGCAGGAACTTTTCAACCCTTTGTGCTACCTGACATTCCAGTGAACTTGTGGGGACGAGATGTGTTAGATGGTATGGGAGCAGTGCTTACTACACAGCCTGTACAACAGATACTAAAAAGTCAGGGCTACTGCCCAGACAGAGGCTTAGGAAAAATGTTACAAGGAGACCCACTCCCTGTGGCAGACAAAAACTGTGTCACTAGAGGTCCTGGGGGGATACAAGAGGATTAGGGTCTTTTCCATAGGGGTCACTGCGCAGCAGCCTTCGATTATACAACCAATAAAAATCACTTGGAAAAGTGATGACCCTGTATGGGTGGAGCAGTGGCCTGACTAAAGAAAAATTGGAGGCTGCGAACACATTAGTTAAGGAACAGTTAGATGCTGGACATATCATTCCTTCCACTTCACCTCGGAACTCACCTATATTTGTTATTAAAAAGAAGTCAGGAAAATGGAGGCTATTACAGGATCTTAGAGCTGTAAATAAAACCATGCTTCTTATGGGAGCAACACAGCCTGGCTTGCCTGCCCCTGTGGCAATTCCTAAACATTGACATTTAATTGTGGTTGACTTCAGGGATTGTTTCTAAAATGTTTTGGCAAACAGGTCCTATTCTATGGGTACATTCCCCAGCTTCTCCAGCAAAAACCATTACTCCTTATCCACAGGCTGTTGCTCAGATTATATTTAAGGGAATCAAGATCAGTGTTCAAACTTTTGGTAAGGAGCCAGATATTGTGGTGACCCCATACACCCAGTCTCAAATAGCATGGTTGCAAGCTAATGATAATGATTGGACCATATTGACATGCTCCATGCAGGGTAGGTTTGATACTCACTACCCCTCTAATGATGTGTGTAAATTTTTTAAATTGCATCCTGTTATATTTCCCAAGATAGTACAGGTGACTCCTATTCCTCAGGCCTGTGTAGTATTTACTGATGGCACTTCATGTGGTTTTGCTGTGGTAGTTTCTGGTAACATAGTAAAGAGAATAAAAGTTCAGGGCACTTCTGCCCAGATGACAGAGGTACAGGCGCTGTTGCTTGCTTTACAGATGTTTTCTGATGAGAGTGTAAATATTTGTACTGATAGTCAATATGTGGCACATGCCATTATGCCTTTAGAGACAACAGCCTACATACCATCCATTTCTCCCACTCATGAATATTTATTGCAAGTGCAAGGACTTATATGGCCCCGCTCACATAACCTTTATGTGGGCCATATTAGAGCTCACACCCAATTGCCTGGACCTCTAAGTGAAGGTAATTAGAGGGCTGATGCCATTACTCGTATGGCTGTCACATTAGTTTATTCTGCCTTTGAAAAGGCTACTCAGTTGCATCAACATTACCATCTTAATGCTGGATCTCTTCGTCATCATACAGTCATAACCCGGGAACAAGCCTTCCAGATAGTTAAATCATGTCCTATTTGTGCTGAATTTTTACCTGTTCCTCATTTGGGAGTTAATCCCCGAGGACTTTTACCTAATCATGTGTGGCAGATGGATGTCACACACACACACACACACACACACACACACACACACACACACACGTGTGCCTTCCTTTGGAAAACTACAATATGTCCATGTGTCTATTGATACATATTCTTCTCTAATTTTTGCTTCTGCTCATTCAGGGGAAAAGGTTAAGGATGTTAAGAATCATTGTCTTCATGCTTTTGCTTACATGGGAGTGCCAAAATGCATAAAGACTGATAATGGTCCCGCCTACAGCAGTACGGGATTTTCAAAATTCTGCCAAGACTTTTCTATTGTTAATAAGACTGGTATTCCTTATAACCCTCAAGGACAGGCTATAGTTGAACACTTCCATCATACCTTAAAAACATATATTTCTAAAGTAAAAAAGGGGGAGCTAGGGGCTCATCTATCTCTCCTCTCCATATTCTATTCTTTCCCTTGTTTTATATATTTTAAATTTTTTATCGGTGGATTCTGCTGGAGTATCCGCTGCAGATAAGCACTGGAGGGCTCCTGTTGCAAATCATCCTCTGGTGTGATGGAAGGATCTTTCTACTGGCACTTGGAGGGGACCCGATCCGGTGTTGGTGTGGGCCCGGGGATCTGTTTGTGTCTTTCCACAGGACAATGAAGTTCCTCTTTGGGTTCCTGAGTGCTGTGTGCGCCCTGTGGCTGCTGCTGAATCCCGACAAGGCAGAGACCTATTGGGCCTTTGTAAAAAACCCTCCCCTTCTGATGCCAATGGGAATTGAGAGCCCAATACTGCCAGCCTTGACAAGCATTAACATAAGCCTAGGAACTGTAACCATATGGTTGGATTCTTCAGAAGGTAATGTATGGTAACTTTTTTCAAAAATGTTGAGAATATGTCACACCTTGGAGATTAAGGATAACCCTGAAGTTCAATGACCTTCATTTGTTAACAGTAACATGCCAGCTAAGTCTTTTCACATTTTGCAACCCTCTTCAAGCTGGTGTAGAACCTACTTTTCAGAAATGGCTCTGTGCAACATTTATTGGCCTCCTGAAATTCATCTAGCCTTTTTGAAGATACCTTAAAATTTGTGAGCCTGAATGTAGCCATTAATGAGACCATTAGTTCTGCTCCTTGTTTGCTGTTTTTGTTTTTGTTTTCTTTATGGTTCTTAGTTGTTCTTTTGCAGACCTGCCAGCCTAAGTAGTGCTGGGATCAAGAAAAATGGGCCTTGGTGGTTCGTGTTCCTGGAGCTGCGTCCATGCCTGTGGACCATGGCAGTTAGACACAGATGATGCTCACACGCTCCAGAAGAGACTGACATCGTTGTTGCCGCTGTTGCTGTTATAGCAGTGGTGGCCACTGCTACTACTATTTCTGGGATGGCTATTTCATAATTGGGTTCTACAGCTAGCACAATGGAGACCCTAGCAGCAAAAGTAGCTACCACAGTTAGTTAATCTTTTATTGTATAGGGCATGATAAATTTAATTCTACATTTATACATTTAAATTGGCTTTGAAAGTTGTAAAAATTATTAAAACTCAAGTTCCATTTGCTTATGGGATACCACCTTACAAGGACTCCAATTTGCAGTAAGGCTCGTTTAAGAAGGGAATGGCTCGCCGGGCGGTGGTGGCACACGCCTTTAATCCCAGCACTCGGGAGGCAGAGACCGGCGGATCTCTGTGAGTTCGAGGCCAGCCTGGGCTACCAAGTGAGTTCCAGGAAAGGCGCAAAGCTACACAGAGAAACCCTGTCTCGAAAAATCAAAAAACAAAAAACAAAAAACAACAACAACAAAAAAAAGAAGGGAATGGCTCAATTGCCTTTAGCCTCCTGGCTATGGGTGGGTTAGGACTTCTGTTGGTCTTTTCTGTGTCGCACAGATTGCAAGCCCAGCGCCACTTTGAGATCTTTGGCAGCAGTCACTCTACAGCTCACGTGGTTGAGTCTGTATGATAATGAGTATTCAGAGACGGGTAATGCTTGGGGGGGCGGTCATCAACCTAAGACAGAGCACTTGTGTGGCGTGGGCAGGTGTCTCCATGCCGGGTAAGATGACCTGCTGACGTGCCACGCATCCTAAGTCAGAAGCTCATTTTTTAGTAAAAAGGGGGGACCTGTGGGCCCTGGTCTCCTCCCATATTGAGTAAAGCCGTTGCCTGCTTGCCGACCTTGACCAGGTGTCCTCCCTATGCTAATTCCCTGCTGGTATCCACCCTCCTGAATGCTTTAGGGAAGTTCTTTGTTCCTGTATCCTGCATTTGGTGTAAACAGCTTAGATGCAAAAATGTAGCAAACTTCTACCCTCCGGGGATCCGCCATTGTGCTGTAAGCCTGTATTTAAGGTTTCCTCCCTCTTTCAATAAACAGCATTCGACTGGCATTTGGCATTCAGCCGTGGCGAATGACTCGCTGTCTCTTGTCTCTATTTTTTAATCCACAGCCCCTCGCTCGGACATGGTGAACGAGTGGTGGTAGCGCAGGCGTTATCCCTACAAACAGATAGGTAAATGGCAGTGTAAGAATACATTTAACAACACAAAGGGCAATATGGCACCACCAGAACCCAGTGGTCCTACAGCAGCAAGACCTGAACATCCCAACACAGATGAAGCAGAAGAAAACAACCTTAAAAATAACTTTATAAAGATGATAGAGGCCCTTAAAGAGGAAATGAAAAATTCCCTTAAAGAAATTGAGGAGGGGGCTGGAGAGATGGCTCAGCGGTTAAGAGCACTGACTGTTGTTCCAGAGGTCCTGAGTTCAATCCCAGCACATGGTGGCTCACAACCATCTGTAATGAGATCTGGCATCCTCTTCTGGCCTGCAGGCATACATACATTAAAAAAAATAAATAAATCTTTTTTTAAAAAAAGAAAGAAATTGAGGAAAGGACAAACAAAAAATTGAAAGAAATCAATAAATCCCTTAAAGAAAGCAAAGAAAAAACAAATAGGTGAAGGAAACCATTTAAGACTTGAAAATTGAAATAGAGGCAATAAAGAAAAAACAAACCAAGGGAATTCTGGAAATGGAAAATCTGGGTAAGCAAACAGGAACTACAGATGCAAGCATCACCAACAGAATACAGGAAATAGAAGACAGAATCTTGGGCACTGAAGATATAATAGAGGAAATAGATTCATTGGTTAAGGAAAACGTTAAATCTGAAATATTCTTAACACAAAACATCCAGGAAATCTGGGACACTGTGAAAAGAGAAAAGACCAAACCTAAGAATAATAGGGGTAGAAGAAGAATTCCAGCTCAAAGGCATAGAAGATATATTCAACAAAGTCATCAAAGAAAACTTTCCCAACCTAAAAAAGGACATGCCTATGAAGATACCAAAAGCTTGCAGAACACCAAATAGACTAAACCAAAAAAAAAAAAAACCCCTTGCCACATAAAAATCAAAACACAAAACATACAGAATAAAGAAAGAATATTAAGAGCTGCAAAGGAAAAGGGATAAGTAACATAAAGGCAGACCTATCAGAATTACACCTGACTTCTCAATGGCGACTCTAAAACCTAGACAGATGTTTTGCAGACACTAAGAGACCATGGATGCCAGCCCAGACTACTATACCCAGCAAAACATTCAATCATCATAGATGGAGAAAGCAAGATATTCCATGACAAAACAAGATTTAAACAATACCTATCCACAAATCTAGACCTATAGAAAGTACTAGAAGGAAAACCCCAACCCAAGGAAGTTATCTGCAACCATGAAAATACAGGCAATAGATAATCTCATACCAGCAAACCCCCAAAAAGGGAAACACACACACACACACACACACACTACCACCACCACCACCAAACCCAAAAAATAACAGGAATTAACAATCACTGATCATTAATATCTCTTAATATCAATGGACTCAATCTGCCTATAAAAAGACACAGGCTAACAAAATGGATATGAAAACAGGATCCATCCTGCTGCATACAAGAAACACACCTCAACTTCAACACACCTCAGAGTAAAGGGTTGCGAAAAGATTTTCGAATCAAATAGACCTAAGAAGCAAACTGATGTAGCTATCCAATATATAACAAAATAGACTTCAAACTGAAATTAATCAAAAGAGCTAGAGAAGGGCATTTCATATTCATCACATGTTGTTGGCTGTTTTTGATCTTTTGGGAGCCACCCAGCTCCCAAATAAATCACACAAGGAGGCTTAGTCTTAATTGTGAATGCCCAGCCTTAGCTTGTTTTCCTTAACTTTAAATTATCCCATCTACCTTATGCCTCTTGGCTTTTCCCGTTCTCTTATTTTTGTAAATCTTACTCCATGGCTTGCTGTGTAGCTGGGTGACTGGCCCCATGGAGTCCTCCTCCTTCTCTGCCTACTTCTTTCTTCATCCCTCCATCTCTTTTCTTCTTTTTTTCCTCCCAGATTTCTCCTATATAGTCTCTCTGCCTGCCAGCTCCACCTCTCTCTCTCTCTCTTGCCTTGCTATTAGCTGTTTGCGCTTCATTAGACCATCAGGTGTTTTAGACAGGCACAGTAACAAAAGTAACACACCTTAAACTAATATTCTACAACAATCAAAGGAAAAAATCCATCAAGATAAAGTCTCAATTCTGAACATTTATGCCCCAAATATAAGGCCACCCACATTTGTAGAAGAAACATTACTAAAGCTTAAAGCATGTATCAAACTCCACACATTAATAGTAGGAGACTTCAACACCTCACTCTCACCAATGGACAGGTCTGCCAGACAGAAACTTAACAACAGAGAAATAAGGGAACTAACAGATGTAATGACTCAAACGGACTTAACAGATATTGACAGAACATTTCATCCAAACACAAAAGAATATACATTCTTCTTAGCAGCTCATGGAACCTTCTCTAAAATTGACCATATACTCGGTCACAAAGCAAATCTCAACAGATACAAAAAAAAAACCTGGAATAACCCCCCATATCTTATCGGAGCACCATGACATAAAATTAGAATTCAACAACAACATAAACTACAGAAAGCCTACAACTCATGGAAATAGACCAACACTCAACTGGATTACCTACCACTGGGTCAAGGAGGAAATAAAGAAAGAAATGAAAGACTTCCTAGAATTTAATGAAAATGAATGCACAACATACCCAAACTCATGGAACACTACGAAAGCAGTGCTAAGAGAAAAGTTCACAGCACTAAATGCCCACATAAAGAATTTGGAGAAATCTCACACTAGTGATTTAACAGTACACCTAAAAGCTCTGGAACAAAAAGAAGCAAACTAGCCCAGAAGGAGTAGACAGCAGGAAATAATCAATCTTAGGACTGAAATCAACAAAATAGAAACAAACAGAACAATACAAAGAATCAATGAGACAAAGAGTTGGTTCTTTGAGAAAATCAACAAGATAGATAAACCCTTATCCAAACTAACCAAAAGGCAGAGAGAGAATATCCAAATTAATAAAATCAAAATGAAAAAGGGGATGTAACAACAGACACTGAGTAAATTCAGAGAATCATCAGGTTATACTTCAAAAATCTGCACTCCACAAAATTGGAAAATCTAAAAGAAATGGACAATTTTCTGGATTAAATCAAGACCAGATAAACAATTTAAATAGACCTATTACCCCTAAGGAAGTAGAAGTAGTCATTAAAAGTCTCCCAACCAAAATAATTATTATGTGGCAAGGGGACTTTTAGGGAGGGGGGCTAGTCTATTTGGTATTCTAAAAGCTTCTTGATTCTTCACAGGTATTTCCTTCTTTAAGGTGGGAAAGTTTTCTTCCATGATTTAGTTTAATATATTTTCTGTGCCTTTGAGTTGGTGTTCTTCTCCTTCTTCTATCCCTATTATTCTTAGGTTTCTCCTTTTCATGGTGTCCCAGATTTCCTGGACATTTTGTGTTATGAATTTCTTGGCTTTGGTGTTTTCTTTGGTGAATTTATTTCTTCTATTGTATCCTCTATGCCAGAGATTCTCTCTTCCATCTCATATTCTGTTGGTCATGCTTGCATCTGTGTTTCCTATTCATTTACTCAGATTTTCTATTTCCAGCATCCCCTCAGTTTGTGTCTTCTTCATTGTTTCTATTTCAATTTTCATGTCTTAAACTATTTCTGTCATATGTTTAATTGCTTTTTCATGGTTTTCTTGGCTTTCTTTAAGGGATTTATTGATTTATTCCAATTTTTTGTTTGTCTTTTCCTCAATTTCTTTAAGGGGATTTTTCATTTCCTCTTTAAAGGCCTCTATCATCTTCATAAAGTTATTTTTAAGGTCATTTTCTTCTGTTTCTTCTACATTGTGATGTTCAGGTCTTGTTGTTGTAAAACCACTAGGTTCTGGTGATGCCGTATTGCTCTTGGTCCAATAAGAGCTGGCAGATTCCATGTCTCAGGAACCTACTGGGTTTGCAGGGAGATGGGTATGTTTGGGGTAGGATATGGGTCTTGTAGATTTTAGGATCCTATAGGGGGTTTTGGTGGGGGAGCCTGCCTGCAGGAATCTTCCCTGCTGGCCAGCAATTGGGGCAGCAATAGGTAGGGGTTCCTGGGGACTGTTTGTGTCTCAGGGCCTAGGTCCTAGAGGCAGGACTCTGGGTGGGAGAAGAGTCACTTACCTCTTAGTCCAATGAGAGCTGGTGGATTCTGTGTCTCAGGAAGCCACTGGGGTTGCAGCAGGGTGGGGAGGTTTGGAGTAGGGATTGAGTCTTGGAGATTGTAAGGTTCAGTGGGGTGTTTTGGTGGGGGAGCCTGCCTGCAGGAGTCTTCCTTGCTTGTCAGCAACTGGGGCAAAGTGTGATTGCGAGATTTTTTTTTTTCAATACAGGGCTTCTCTGTGTAGTCCTGACTGTCCTGGAAGTCACTCTGTAGACCAGGCTGACCTTGAACTCGCAGAGATCTGCCTGCCTCTGCCTCCTGAGTGCTGGAATTAAAGGCATGTGCCACCACTACCAGGCTGATTGTAAGATTTTTATTAAGAAATTTTCTCCATGTAAACCTTGAAAAAAAAAAGTTTCATGGAAGAAATATGAACTATAGGTACAAGTAAAGATAAAATGAAAGAGCATTCTACCTGTGCCTGTGGAATAAAACGGGGGTACAAAAATATAGCTAAGATCTATTTAAAGAATAGATTAAAAATGGAGCTAAACAGAGAGGTTTGCGCTACTTAGAATAATGGACAATCTTTAATTCACTTTTGAAGAGAAGAATAACTATAAAAGTAATAGTTACTGGTTGGGTGTCACATTGCACATCTTTAATCCCAACACTTGCAAGGCAGAGGCAGATGGATCTCTGTGAGTTCAAGGCCAACCTAATCTACATAGAGACTTCCAGGGCTACACAGAGAGATACTGTCTTCAAAAATAAAAGGAGTAATCAAAACATGCAGTATCTAGAAGTCTGAAGTAGA